TGCTACATAAACCTTCCTCTGTTGATTAACGTTCTTAATTCATGACGTGACAAACCACAAATGTGTATTCGAACCCTGACTAAAACGGATTGTATTAGATATGTATTCAAGTTATCTGTCTGCGGGCCACACATGTCCACGTGCCCAGTGTAAAGCACATCCTGCCATACACTGTTTAGTACAAAGGCGGCGACAAGTAAATGAAAAACATCTGTTGCATTGTGTAAAATATGGTGTTAAACCGTGAAAATTCCCTGCAAAAGACGAAAAATAAGTTGTTAAACAAGATAGTCAATCATTCGTTGTGTATTTAATATATTAACATTAGATATGAACACGTATCAAATATAATTTATACCAGGGCCGGATCGACCAAACTGTTTTGGGGCCGGAACGTCCAAACCAGGGCCGGATCGTCTTTTTTTTTACCAGGGTCGCAACCGACCAGGGCCGGATCGTCCTGATACCGATTCATCTGGCTAAGCAGTTGCACAGAGGGTGTGACTTAACAGTTTAGTGGTTTCTGCAATACAAAACAGTGTGTGTTCACCTCAGGTTAGTGAGTCACCCCTTAAAGAAATAGACGTATGTTGTTTATATTTGTTTACAATGTTGCCTTTACGCAGATGACTAGTAAACCAGTGCTAACCAGCGAGTAATAATATATATATATACATAATGTTTCATGAAGCTAAAACTCACCTATGTTGTGTTCGGAATTCTGATCAAAAAACATATAAACTCCAATATATTCATAATCACATTTGCCACCATGTAAATAAAACCACCGTGGTTCGGCTAACGCTGTAGCCAATGTAGCAATAACAATCATGCCGAGAATAGCTGCCGCGATGTTTCTCTCTCTTTGTTTGGGTCGTATTCTACGAGCCCCAGCTGTTGCTGGCGATAGTGAAACCGACGGCGCAGATGACCGAAGTCTACCATATCGTGGAAGCCGGGGCGGCATACTTTTGCTGTATAAATACTTCCAATGTCTTTTAAACGTACCTTTAACAACCACAGAACACTACCACCAGTGTGTGTGACTGATACAGTCACTTAAACGGGCGATATAGACATAAATTCGCCAGTAAACGACAACAACAAATGGACGACAAACGGGGGAAGTTCCTCTAAAGCATGGTGACGTCACAGGATTACCCGAATATGACCTCGGTGTATTTTATGGAGTCTCCTTTGCGAGAAAACGCTTGATCCCCTCATTTTTTAAAATTTATTTACGCTACTCTCAGTCTATTTTACTTAATGTTTTACATTATTGTACCCGAGTTTATGATTTTTGCTGACTTTTCTCAGTTAATGAAAGGTCGAGCCCCAAAGTTCAAAGTTCATTTTCTCAGCCATATCGCCAAGAAATTACGACAATGCTACATATCCCAATAACTAAAAGCGCATTTGTAATTTATATAACTGTTTTTAGAGAGAATACAGTGCATTGAAGCTAACGAAATCGTAAAACGTTGGATGAATCAAATTTTATGTGGGGGCGCTATATGTTGACGTCACGCTGGACAACCATAAACATTCAGCCATCTTTATAAGCCGAAGAATAGTTTCGCCGAGGAAATAAGGGGTCGTTATTTGGTGCCATACTTCTACGAGAAGACAAAAATGTCAGATTCTGAAGATGAAAGCCCAGATCGCCAGTTGAAAATAGTCATAATGGGTGATGGTGCATCAGGAAAGGTACGTGTAAATCAATTTTGTCTAAGTTTAATATGACAGAGAAGCCCGAAATCATTATTTATTTCGGTAACAGTAAACAAGACGTGAAGCTGTAGGATGAACTGTACTACGGTATTACTACACAGACTGAAGTCCCCTGGCTCATCGACGCACTTTTCTCTTCAACAACAATTGTTGTTTATACAGTACAGTGCAGTAGTAGAATTACATTTTCCAAGTACTACTGGCTGCCAAAGTCAGTATGGAATTATGCATATTATTAAACCATCATTTAATCCTAGGTTGTTATTAGTATTACATACAAATTGGATATATGATATTACTGTTATGATAGTACTGCTAATTTATTTGTAATTAGTAAACCCGTGATTAGATTACATCATTAATAGCTAATGTAAATCACACAAGTGCTTGGTGACCATATGATTTTAAGGTTTCATTGAAACACATAAAATTCCCCAGGTGGAATAGGTGATTTTCTGGCACTTCACTACAAATTTTTTTTTTAATTTTTTTTTAGTTCAATGTTGATTATTGATTATTCAAAGAGGTATAGGTCACTGACACACCATTTCTTCATCAAAATTGACCATCATCAAATGTGTATAGTGCATTATTAGGCTTGGAAATAACTCAAAAAAAGTGTTGGTTGAATCTCATGCAGCGTTTTGATGCTACTACAGCGCCATGACCTTTGTTTGTCTCGTTTTTATGCTCAATTTCACACATAATACAAGATCTCTGATAGTGAACAGAAAATGGTCTTTAAAATAGTTACGTAATAAACTAACACATCATTGTTATATTAATTATAATAGTTACAAGAGAGAAAGAAAAACACTATGAAGTACCTCGGTAAATGTGTAGCAAAATTATTTCTAACAAGTTTAGCCAGTTCAATATGCATACTAATATTTTGTTAATTATTACAAATATATTAACATTTTACCATTTTGTCATGCATTTTTCATATAGTGAATTTTTTTGTAGAAAGGTGTCATGGTCATTAAAGTTTGTTCATCAGTGCAGAGGTACTATACCCACTGATGTTTCTTTCTTTGAAAATTGAATGTTAATAATTTTTGAAATTATGGTTATTTAAACGAAATCACAGAGAAAATGATTCTCAGGGTTTGTTAACCTTACACATTCAAACATGCTCGAGTTCATTTAACCAGTTGAAATGTGCTGGATTAATTACATGTCATTGTCATTTATGTATCAAACATCAAAGGTACACAAAGAGGTAGAAGCCTACTCATAAATTTAAAAATGTAATAAAATGTACTCCAAGGTAATATAAGTTGGGAGTCACCAGCCTTTTTTTCGAGAAATTAATGATTGTATTTTAGTGGAAAGTCACCATTTTGACTCTATTATAACACTTTTACCACATGTTCCTATGGTGACATAGGCTGACAAAATCATATATTGTTAATGATGGAGTACTTTTTGTTTTTCTGAATTATTTAAAAAATCTGGGTTTTAAAAAGTGTCAAAAAATGCAATTTTTCTTTAACATTGTGTTCTATAGAATTGTTCTAAAATGGCAATTTTCAAGAAATATTAAGACACGTTTCTCAAAAAGCATAATTGTAAAACACAAAATAATGCTATTTCATTGTACCATGGAATATTAGCTTCCTGATTGTACATAATAAACGATTGAACATTGTCATGTGATTTATGACCAATTTTGTAAAAAAATTATGAGTAGGCTTCTACCTTAAATAGTAACTTTATTCTTATGACCAAGTGATTTTTTTATGTTGATTATTTTGGTTTGCTGAATATTTTCCTGTTTACTGCTCTATGAAGATGAGTGTTAGACTGTATCTAATAAGTATTGGGTGACAGGTGAAACAGTATTCAATACAAATTTAGCTGGTGTACAAGTGATCATAAAATAAATGTGATTAATGTACTGATATTTTCTATAATTATACTAAAAATATCATTCAACTGTTGCTGATTTGATGCTTACATTGAATGATAATTTTGGTTTCAAATACCCCAGGAAAAGACATGGGTTTATTGTGTTTAAACGATTATACGTCTCTCTACTATTTTTTTGCAGATATTTTTCTTTGGAATAAAGGCCATTGCCTTGGATTTCAAAAACATAGGTGCCTTTCATAATACCAACATTTTCATTTGTACAAGGTTGTTTTATCGGTAATAGTTTTTGCATTGAAATTTAAAGTGCTTGGATTCAGAATACTGACAATCAAGCCATTTTTTCTGAGCAGAGATGTACTCTTCTTTCTTTTCAGACATCACTGGCAACTAGATATTCACAAGAACAGTTTGGTAGGCAATATAAACAGACAGTCGGTCTAGACTTTTTTCTTAAAAGATTAATTTTACCAGGTAAGTAATCAAAGCTGTCTGTATTGCTTTTTTACAGCAGTTTTTGGATTATAACACGATCTAAATCCTACTTTAAGCCAATTAACTCTTTTCTGTGCTTAGTGCTAAGCTCCTTTGTTAAGTACAACAGCAAATATTCTGATGGTGTCCAGAGAAGGAACAGCCAAAACAGCTTGACGAGGAACATGTAAAAACTCAATCGATTATTTACATGTAATATTAGGTTTTGAGGGCTGCTGAGTCCAAAACGTACTCTAAATGATCCAAAAAGCATATGTTAGAGACATACCTGTTGATTGACCAGTACATTTATTCTATTGATTTTAATAGCTCTTGAACTGGTTGATAACAAACATGCACAGAATGGACAAAACATGTATGTTTCATACGGATAAAAAAAAAAGTCATAGGCAAACATTTTCATATGAGTGTCTATTATATTTATTATTATAAAATATTATAAGTATTTGATGGTATGAATTTGTGCGAACTGTGGGAAACATTTATAATGATTTTTAGCAATTTGCCCATATATTTCACTTGTTACTCAAGTAAAGCTGAGTGGGAATGATCTCAGAGTGAAACTGTAATGTAATTATGTAGACTGATATCAGTTACGCATTAAACTGTCTTGATGCTTTGATCTTGGATAATTTAATTGTATCACTTACAGATATCTTAGCACATAGTGTATGTTGATTCACAAGTAAAAAAGGTGGATGCTTTATTTCTGTTCCTGTGATTTTGTTGATTGATGTTATTGTTAGGGTTCAAAACTGAAATTGTACCATTTTGTAATACTACTGTAAAATACTTTATTTTTGCTGAAGAGATGATTCAGTGAAAATAAAATCCAGCAAATATACCTTTTTTTTACTTTATTTTACATTTTACTCATCAAAAATCAATGAAAATAAACTCCATACAAAACACCCCAAAAATTGATTCTGGCTAAAATCATATTTTTTAGAGGGTCTATGCTAAAATAAAGTATTTTTCAGAAATTATAATTTAGGCCAGACTTTTTTTTATTTTTTTGTTTTGCGAGTTTTTATAAGGCAATTTTTTTGAGGAGGGCGGAAATAAAAATAAAATTAATTCTTTTTTTCCATGAGATTTGTGTGATTCTCAAAGAATTGTAAGTGAGATCATAGATCAGAGAGAAGAAATGAAATAACATTTTATTTCATGTATGATCTTGTTTCTCATCTGCGCGAGACTTCAGTACTTTGATTATGATACTCCCACGAAAATGCAACTTGGATTTATTAAGCAGGCGGGCGGTAAAAAAATGAAGATAAAAATAGCATTTTTTGCGCTTACATGCTGGCGGGCGCGAGAAATTACGCTGAAATAAAATTTTATTTTTATTTCATTTTTATTTCATTCGACAGGTTCGCGAAACAAGGGATAATAAAAGTCTGGCCTTGAAAGTTAATGTGCATCCTGTGCGAGGTACACCCAATTTGCCATGCCATGTTGATTAGTTTTTTTTTCTTTATTAATTACTACAGGTAATGTGCATGTAACACTCCAAGTATGGGACATTGGTGGTCAAACACTGGGTGGAAAAATGCTTGATAAATACATATATGGAGCACATGTAAGTTTATGTCTACAACGATATTCTATATATGTTGTAGTCTGTGTGAATAAAGGAAAGGTTATTTGCAAGGGAAGTGGTATAAATGTAATATACATGTATTTCTAATAGGTGATTTTCCGTACAATTGCGAGATCTCGCGAGATGCATGAAAGTCGCGTGTCGAACGTCTGCCGCAAAAATCGAACGATTTGATTTTGAACTCGAATTTCTTTATTTCGTAGCTCACATCGACCGGCCGATCTTCGACAGAGGAATAGTGCTTCCGAATACCCTTACTTAATCGAAATTGTCTGTTATCAAATGTGGACAGCACATAATTAAGCATGGAAATGTACCCCAAAATACTTTCGCGTTTGTCGAATCCCACGCGATGTTTGACGCCACTACGACGCTATGACCTTTGTTTGTCCTGTTTTTACGTTCGATTTCACGCATAACGCGTGATTCTCACAGTGAACGGAAAATGATCTATTATAGTGACTGTCATTAGTAACATGTTACCGAGGTAATACTGTTAGGATTAGTAATCAAGTGTATCTAAATATATATATGAAAACAACTTGGTTTTTTTCAATAAAAATTATAACTCTTAGCATAATGTTATTATGATGTACCAATCTGATGTAGATTGTAGGCTCCAATTTTTTTTTTTAAATATTTATGTTTTATGTGTTGTTAATTTTGTTTATTTATGACTATTTTTTGTTTGTTTACTCGCTGTTATTAAGTTTTTTTATATTGTATCCCGCTCTCCTTAACTACTGTGACTGAGATGCAATATACAAGTATTATATTATAAGTAACACCAAAAACATATTCATAAACTAACAAAAATACCATTAGAAAAAATATATATAATATTGTATGATGTAAACTCATAATATACTTTTTTTGTACCAGTATCCATCTTAAATTAAACTGATGACTTTTTTGTTTTTTTTTGCTTTTTTGAACATTTCTGATTCTGGTCTGCATATAATAATTTGGTTTATATTTCCTGTATTATCCAAATAATGACATTTTGGAAATAATATTTGTGTTTCCTTTTTTGTCCAAATAAGGACATTTTGGAAATGCCATTTTTACAGACACCTGTTTCTTGTGATGTTTTCAGCGTATGAATCTATATGCTACAACTGTATGTAATTAGTATGTAATGGTAATGATATAGACAATTCATTATATGTTAATCACATATTCTTGTACATACCAGATTGTGATCACAAATTGACTTTATTTTTTCCAGGGTATATTACTAGTGTATGATATCAGCAATTACAATAGTTTTGAAAATCTAGAAGACTGGTATGCAATAGTAAAAAAAGTTTTTACAGATCAAGAAAAATTGCCCCATGTGGCTTTAGTTGCCAATAAAAGTAAGTTTTCCCTGTGGTGTTGTAAATTATATGTGAAGTTAGAGGAACGAAGCAAAACAGAAATGAATGTCAGTTGTTTATTTCACTGGTATCCTGGCAACACTTACTGCCTGTTCTATACTATGTAACAGTGAAGTGCTTTTAGTCTCTGCAATTTTTAGGTTGTATGGGTTTCTGTTGGAGATGCACTTCCAATAGAGTAAATACAGTATTAAACCAGTTGTTGCAGACAAAGTATCCTTTCTCAATCATGAATGGTAGATTTGAATAGAGTTAGAAATTGTAGAAATGGAAATCTGATATTGTTGATAAACTAATCACAAAATTATTGTTTCATTTCATACACTGCTTTAACTTTTTGTTTTCAAATGCATTTTGTTACAGTGGATTTAGAACATATGAAGACAGTCAAACATGAAAAACATCTAAAGTTTGTACAGGAAAATGGAATGTCCAGCCATTTTGTGTCGGCAAAGACCGGTGATTCTGTAAGCTCTAATTTTGTAAAATAAATAAGCTCTGCACTCTCCTATTTGTACAAGCACAGGGATTCTTATTAACGCCTGTGATAATACATTGAATAATTCTGATGTTTTACCATTTTATTTATTTCAGATAAATTTATGTTTTCAACGAATAGCTGCTGAAATATGTGGAATCAAGTTAACAAAACCAGAGTTAGAACAGACAACGGTAAGATATTTACAGATACAAATTGTAATTTACAAGAAACAAATACTTTTATTGATTTCACTACCCTGCAACAGTAGTTAACCTAGTTTTCAATAGGGAATTAAGTTCATTTGGTCCAAATTTAACTAAATAATTACATTAAAACTTTTCAAGATAAAACTTTGGTCAGAATTATTTTGTTGTTTAGAGGTGTTGTAGAGGTCACTGACACTATTGGATGTGTAATTCATTTCATTCACTTTACATCTGTGTAATGAATAAGATTGTACTGATACTATTGTTTGTTACAATAGTTGTATGATAATACTCAATTTGTTGTCTTTCAGAGAGTTGTGAAGGCTGATATTGTACAGTATAGTAACACAGAACCATCAAGTCGAGCTTCACAAACACAGACAAGAAGTTCAATGTGTAATTTACAATAAGAAATATGTTGCCTGACTGTGTCACAGTGATGCCCTGATATACCTGTAACAGTGATATATGTATCTGTGGTACCCTGATATATATAAACAACCATGATGAACTGTGTCAGTGATGCCCTGATATGCCTGCAACAGTGATGACTGTCAGTGATGCCCTGATATGCCTGCAACAGTGATGACTGTGTCACAGTGATGCCCTGATATGCCTGCAACAGTGATGCATCTGCGGTACCCTGATATATATAGACAACCATGATGACTGTGTCAGTGATGCCCTGATATGCCTGCAACAGTGATGACTGTGTCACAGTGATGCCCTGATATGCCTGCAACAGTGATGACTGTATCTGTGGTACCCTGATATATATAGACAACCATGATGAACTGTGTCAAGGGTGCCAAGATATTCCTCAACTCAGTGCTAAGATATTTAACTGTAGTGACTTTTGCCATGGGCCACTGTACTTTTTTTTAACAATGGTAGTTGGACAACAATTTTGATGTCCGGATGACTTGAAATTTTGCATAACAAAGTACCGGTAGTATGAATGAGAATCATTTCTGCACACAAGATGGCAGAAAAAGTCAATGACAATTAATTCACACAGCTCAAGTAAAGCTTTTACAAGCATTTATTAGTGGCTCATGTGCAGGTAAAAGTGCTTGTCCATGTTACAGATAAATATGACTTGAGTATGGGCATTATAGTGAAGGAGTTCGCCTCACTACAACTCTTGGTCTGTCAGTCGTATTTAAACAAAAATAATTTTCCTATTGTTATTTGTTTATACAGATTTATCTTAGGAAATCAAATGTTGTTGACCTCTTTAACAAACATCCATTGTGCATGAAATTGAATGCATAATGGTTGAGTGTTTTTTGAGAAAAAATCACTGATCTTTCATGAATATTCATTCATATTTTGAGAAAACAGAGGATTGACATGTATATTACAGTGCCCAGGGTGATAGTCTTGTTTGTAACTAGCAATCCACATTTATATCATGGATGTTTTAAATGAGTTCATTTTCTTTTTCACTAAAATGGAAGTAATTTGAAGGATATAGTTTCACTGTGACACTATTAGTCAAGACATTAATTTATTGGCAACTGATGCGCGTGATATCATCTAACAGGAAACATGTTGGATAGACTCTACATTTACGTCCACCAATTTCCTTTTTTATTGAATATATATGTACATAAGATTTACCTTATCGAAAAGTAATGAAACCAATATTGTAAACGAGATTGTGAAATGTGTATTTCCTAGGTGGGCTTCCATCAGTATGGATTATCTATTCACAAGGATACTAGAAGAAGAGTACTCTTATCTTGATGAAGATAATGCTTTGGTAATGTCTAGCATTCTCCCAGACATATTTCAATGTTCAAGATCTGATGAAGGTAGTTGTATTTTGTACCTTGAATATGTGTGTATATTGACGGCGTACATTGAATATTGGAATTTAAAGTTGTACTCTGAGAATCAGTTCTAAATCTTTATTGGGATTTATGAGACTACTATGTGAAGTATTTGATTTTATGAATGTATATTCGTATGGATCAACAAACAGGGTTTTGTTTATACAGTAATTCTGAACAAAGGTAGGTCCTGAAACCCCAATAAAGCAATAGAAATGATCTGAGAGTACAACATTAATACATTTATATATATATATATACAGTATATATAAAGATTTCTGTATAATTCTATAGAAGTCCCAATTTCATGAATGTAGTCAGAGTTTCCCCTAAATCATCTTTTCTGTTTTCCCCTCCACCAATAAGTTTTGGTTATTGTTACGAACACAATGTGATTTAGTTTAATGTTACAATCATTTGGCTGAAAGCAACTCAAATCATGATTTCATAACCCTGGAACATTTAAAAACATTGAATCAACACAAGATCACTTGAGTCATGTTTTTTTTTTTTGTTTCTGCTCAGTTTAGATACATAGTTGGGCAATTGGTGTAAAACGCACCGTTGAAGTGCATTTCCAAAGCTGACAGTGTAAGCCAAAAACATCTTGGGTGTGACCAAACAACGATACACAGTATTATTTGTAGGCTGGCTCAGCCGTGGCAATTTTATAAGTTTTTTTTTTCATTTCAAATCTTGGTTTGTCATGATAATTTCATGTCAACATGAGACAAAATTGCCACGACTGAGCTAATCTATATTATTTGGTCCCCTGTCTGAAATACTTAATCCAAGAATCATATACTCTTTCAGGAATTACTTTGTCCAATGCATTTACAAAGTTTGGCTTTCCTTCATTTGGTTGAGCTTGTTTGCCTCTAGTATTGTTATAAGTTTATGAATGAGACATGTTGTCAGATCGCATCGTCTCCCTGCCATCACAAAGTATGGCTGAACAGTGACAGTACAAAACTATATGTTGTGAATATAAAAGTGTATAGTTTTTTATCATAATATTATGATACAAATGTTGTGAAACATTGTAAAAGCTATTTATTATTAACTATTTCTGTATTTTCAATTTATTATCTCTTAAATTGTAATGACTGAGCTATCATTAAAACAGATTTTATTTGTGAACTTTTAATATCCAGCTCCGATTGTGTAACTTTACTGGACAGAGGATTTATTCCCTTGTGATCAAATTGAGGACGCATCAACAGCTTGGTGTATATTGTTCGTCAGTGGATCGTACCTCAGATTTGTAAAATAGAATGAACTTTAAAAGGCCAGACATGTAATCATATAGATCCACAGTAAACCAACCAGTACATTATTTTCATGTGCATAGTAAAATAAAAATACTCAAATTAGCCATGTTTCAAAGTTTGAAATTGGAGTGGGAAGTTCTTCCTCAATGAACAAGTTGGGACAAGTCACTGTTAAAAGTATAATACAACTACCCATTGCGTCGCCATTTAGAGTAAATACAAAGTCAAGTATACTGAGGTTGGTAAACAGTTTTATTTCTCAATTAAAAACAAAATGAAATCTCGGGAAAAATATCTTATTAAACATGAAATTAATCATTTCACCAACCACCATTCTCACTCTTTATTTTCTTTGGCATCCATTCGCCATGATTGAAATTTCAGCCACACACATTTTATATCCCATCAAGTTCTTATTGTGTATATTTATATATAATTACTTTTAACTAGTATGTTGGGTGTATTTTTACATATTTAGTAATAATTCATATATTCAAGTACAGCATATTTCTAATTCTTTACTTATAAGTTGAGCATTCCAAGTACGTCATACTTATTTTTATTTACTAATAACTCGTACATTACAAGTACGGTATATTTATTTACTAATACTTTGTGCATTGCAAGTACGCCATATTTCTAATTATTTTTAACTTGTATGTTGCATGTACATCTTCATTATCTAATAACTCGTACATTACAAGTATAAGATATTAATAATAAATAGTATGTTCAAGTAAGGCATATTTTTATTTATTTTCTAATAACTCTTGTATTGCAAGCATATTTGTAATTTATTTCTAACGTGTATGTTACAAGTATTGCTTACCGGTAATTATATTTATTTACTCTTACGATTCAAGTACAGCATATTTATTTTTATTTAATATAAAACACCGGAAGAGTTAAATAAATCTAAATAATTAGAAATAAACCATGTTTGGAATGCACAAGTAAATAAATATTTATATATTTTGCAATGAACGAGTTGAAAGTAAATATATATAAATTTATTTTTAATCGCAAGAACTCAATCAGTAAAATCTAAAACGTGTGGCCAAAACTTCGAGGGTGGCAAATAGAGGGAGAAACTTCTGTGGCTGAAACTTGCCCCTATTGTCCTCTCCCCCTCTTATTCTTTGGTTTCTTCCTATTTACTGTTTCACCAACCACCTCCCTTCTTTCCCCCCTTCTTTTTTGGTTTCTTCCTAGCTGCAGCTGCTGATTTCTGTTGTCTTGGTCCAGGTTGGCTGCTTGCGGTAGATGACGCCGAAGAAGGTGGTACAGTACCTGCTCTTGGTGAACTCGGCGTACTTGATGGTTTGCTGGCATCCCTGAGAAAGAGAGAAAATAATTATTCCACAATTATTTTTCAAACTGATTTAAATCAAATACTATTATTACAATTTTATATAAGAATGTCTACCCAGAAATTCCAGTGGAAGGTGAATTTCATTTTGATATGCATGGATTTTTTTTAAAGTAATGGCAAAGGACAACACAGATCTACCTTTTGTGTTACACAAATGAACAGCGTCAACAAATGTAAACAAACAGTGACAATTCCTAACTGCAAAAATTAAATGGCTCACAGGAATGAGATGAATTTGCTTTTATATTTATTTGACATTTCCATTTATGGTTAGCATCCCCATGTGTGGTCACTAAAACACCATGGCGACTTGTACAATAAACTATACTTATAACACTCTTGCCCATGTGGTCTATATTGAGACATGCCCACATTTGAGCTGTTCAGTGAATTGCTAGGCATTTTTCATTCATGGAATTTATATTTTTTGTGTGTTTAAATCCATGATCTGGGCAAGGTCAAATGTTCCAAAAAAATCTATATTTACAATGTCAAAAAAAAGGCAAAGGTGACTGCATAAAATGGCCCAATCTTCTTTGATTGTTAACATATTTATGACTGGTGTAAGAAGAATTTTCACCGAGCTCGCACGTCGGGATTAGCATGAAATTTTATTTCTGGAATCTTAGGGTATCAGTAACTTTTGGAGCAGTGAACATTTTATTGGGATGCTAGGGAGCCATAGCGACTTTTGGAGCAATGAGCATTTAATTGGGATCCCCTAAGACAGCATGTCACAGTGACTTTGGCAAAATTTTGTCTCATGGATGCCCTAAAATCATGAATATTTAAACTATTTAAAGTATTTTAATAAAAATACTTACAGGTCATTGTAAGCAGAGGATGACGCAGCACCCTGAGTTCCTTTACCAACATTCATTCCTTTTTTATCTTTCTTCCTTCCTTTGTAATATGATCTCTCTCGTTTAGGCAGCCATCTTTCTGGATCGGGATCAACATTAGTGTCGTAGCTTTTTGGTAACTTTCCTATAAATATATACATGTGTTCATATTTTGCATTTTTGTTCTGCATTACTGTTCCAGTCACTTAGCTATCATTACAATACATCACTTTTGTGATAATGTGATAATCGATTTTGCACACAGAAAATTTGTTTTTGTGTAGTAAAAAAATCAGTCGTTGTCCTGAATTATTAGAAAATTATAATGAATACTACCAGTATTTATTTTTTTGAATAAAAAAATTGTGATAAATGTTCTCGGGTATTTAACAAGTCAAATGTCAACGGACGACCTTAACAACTTGTTAGTACGGTACTTACCTCGTCTTTTCTTTTTCTTCTTTTTCTGAATTAAATCTTGTTGGGGTTGTGCAGCTTTCTTCTCGATACTTTCTGGCTTGCTAGCCTTTTTCAGGTACTTGGGCCCAAATAAGAAAGCTGAATTTTCCAAGGCATCTACATTTATATCTTCCGCTGACTCAGCAATAGACGGCAACTCTTCACTCAATCTTAATAAAATGTTAAGGACTCTAATATAACCTGACAGAATAACTCGTGCTCAAGATACAAATCTCTGTTGAACAAGTTCACCGTGATTGTGGGACAGACCTACAGTTTCTAATGAATTAGTTATTTTTTCCAAAATCGAATCATAGGTTTTATTTAGTGCAATTTTTAAAATTAGTGAATCCATTGCCCAAAAAATATATATTCATATGCAAATTAGCCTTCATGCATTAGCATACAGCTAGGAAGCACACTACGTTTTTAGAAACCGAGATCCTTCTTGCACCAAACCCTATAGGCCTTCGCACTTGTTTATGTTTTGCATGTGTGTATGCTTGTCAAGAAGACGCACTTGAAGATAAACGACATTGTTTGCTGCTATTGTTATTAAACATACATGTACGTGTCCCTGTTGATAAAATAATTTTTAGGCAACACTGTCACAGCCGATCACGTGTGCGATATTTGATATCAGATGTTCGCATACTGGTTGGTAGAAATGTAAACATATGTTGTCACAGTGAGATGGCCTATACACATTAACAAATGATTTCAAAAAGATACTGTTGTGCTTTCACTGGGTTGAACTGTGCATACGCTGAGATTAACTGAGCCAGTGTATGCATATCATTGGGATTGGCACTGCAATAAATGAGAAATAATATGTCAGTCAGATCAGATTTCTGTTATATTGGGTTGCACAAATAAGCTATATAGGTGTCAGTGTCAACAGTTCCAACCATTTTATTAAGTCTTGTTCAACCAATCACACCACTGCATGACATATACATGTTTCATTTGATTCCACATAAAATTCACAAGGCCACAAAAATATGCACAAGAACAAGTTGCAAATGTAATTCGACAGAATCTGACTAATGTTGTATTAGTGACCACTGCTTCATGTTATAATTAATAGTTAAACACTGGCACAGAAAACAAAGGTTACTAATATGCTCATTATAATTGACCCTTAAGCCATACAATTAAATCACACAAAAATGTAAAACTGCTAAAATTGGGATAATATAAACCCGATTCAGAGAGGGGCTTATAACCTTTAATAAAAGTAAACTTGTGACAGAACACGGTAGCACAGAAAACTACAGCACCAACAAATACACAAGTTTTAGCCCTGTGGCTATCTGTATCACTATGTCTAATGCATTCCATGACAAGTGGTAAATTTATTTTACATTTTGTTACATTCTCAATGTGTGAAAATATTTATTATTGTTATCTGCCAGACTGCCATGTACTATTAAAGCAAAGTGTTGAATAAGTTATGGTAGAATTTGTGACCAAATGCCCAAAATTCACTTTATGAGCCCAGAATTCACTTTATGAGCCCAGAATTCACTTTATGAGCCCAGAATTCACTTGACAAGCCCAGAATTCACTTGACGAGCCCAGAATTCACTTGACAAGCCCAGAATTCACTTGACAAGCCCAGAATTCACTTGACAAGCCCAGAATTCACTTGACGAGCCCAGAATTCACTTGACAAGCCCAGAATTCACTTGACGAGCCCAGAAATCACTTGACAAGCCCAGAATTCACTTGATGAGCCCAGAATTCAATTGACAAGCCTAAAATTCACTTGACACACCTTGAAATTATTCAACTACTTTCTCTAGCTAGAAACCTGCGATAAAACTTACCGTCTAAGGTCCTCTAGCATCTGCACAGCTTGCTCTGATCTGCCATGTCGTAACTTAAAATTAGCATTTTCTTTCAATAATGATTGCAAGCAACCTTTAGGCCCCTAGTGAATAAATGCAATGATGCATGAGAACTCAAGTAAAGACACAAACTGATGGAAGACTGTCTTTATATTTTTTATGCTCTTAATAATTTCTGAGAACTGATAAAAGCTCAACATCGTTGAAGTAGCATTTTGAGATGCCGTTAAATTTATTAGTGTTTGTTTGTGTAGCACAATTTCGAGAAATATATGACAATTATTTTGAATACAGTGATTCTGAACTAGCACATGTATGTAAAGGATCTAAAAACTAACTCTGCGATGTGATTACACTGTGACAAGTGGTCTTCCAATCAAAATATGCCGTTTCGCAGAGTGACACTGGGACCCTTCCGCAGAGTGTAATAATCGACATGAAACCCCCTTAAACACCTCACTAGCACACATTTTTTTGAATCCACACGAGTAAGAAAATGATTCCAAAATGTTTACAAATACAATTAATTATTCAATTAACTTTTGCAAAATATTTTTGCACTCTGGCAATTCAGCAGCACGTAAGTAGTATACTAACCCGATTTTTTCTGTAATAATGTACTGCATTATCTAGTATTTCTATGGCAGTATCTACATCTTCTAAACTCATATACAATGAAACCAGCGTGGATACCATACCAAGGTGGTGTTTCAACTCTTCAATGCTTCGAAGTACTTTACATGCTTGACCAACGTTACCTAGATAAAAAGGTCAGTGAAAGACACACATTTAAATATCTTCTCTACGAGCAGTACATCTTCAATATATAGTAAGTATATGTCACATTTGAACACCTTCTCTTTCTTTGCATCACACAAAATAAGCTAAATATCAAGTTTGCTATTTGCTGGCATTTCTGGCTATTATATATCACTAAATTATGACTACAGACAGGAGATGTTATCACATGAATACTACAACATTCAACTCTGGTGGTAATTTTTGCAAATACCAAACCAGCACATGTAAATACATACCTTGCATTAAATGTAATTGTGACAGAGTTAGTTGTACTCTAACAGATGGATTTGATTGCACTTCTAAATATTCCTGAAAGGGAGATTAATCATATCATTGTAAAATAATTAGTACATTTGAATTGGTTTGAACTAGTATGAATTGGTTTGAACTAGTATGAATTGGTTTGAACCACCGGGGCAGTATGAACTAATTTGAACTAGTATGAACTGATTTGAACTAGTATGAGCTGGTTTGAACTAGTATCAACTGATTTGAACTAGTATCAACTGATTTAAACTAGGATGAACTGATTTAAACTAGGATGAACTGATTTAAACTAGGATGAACTGATTTGAACTACCGGGGTAGTATGAACTGATTTGAACTAGTATCAACTGATTTGAACTAGGATGAACTGATTTGAACTAGAATGAACTGATTTGAACTAGTATGAACTACGGTAGTATGAACTGGTACAAGTAGTGTGCATTGAATTGAGATAGTATGAACTGGTTTGAACTAGTATAAAAATGATTCATATAAATTTGTCTCTCACACACTCAAATACCGGTACAATCCTTTACATCACACCAGAAGTTCAAAATGTGCCATGATTTGCAGTGAACTCTGGTACTTCCAGACAACAGTTTTATTGTAAACATGTCTGACACTGCAGAGTTGAAATACACAAGACCATTTCTAACAGTAGAAAATACTGAACTTATGATGAAAATCACAGTACACAAATATTTTTGCGCCAAATAGTCAGTGTATTCAAGAACTTTTGCAAACTGGATCAAAAATCAAAAAATGGTCCACGATACCATTTTGGTTCAAACCAAAAATATATTATTGTATAAAACGATTAAAATCAAAGTAATTTAATGTGAACTGGCAGTCATCTCAAGTAGTATTTTAATTAGTTAATTACGAAACCAAGATGACCTCCCTTGTCCCCAAAACTATATATTTTCGGAAAGCTTATTGTATGAATTTTAAAATTTTGTTAGTATTTTTTTGTTATGGACACTGTAGTTTGTAATATGCACAAAAATGTGCTTTTTTGGTCAAAAGTGATTTAAAAAAAATAGCTTCTAAACAATACTTCTGTTTCCTGTCAAAATTGGTTTACGGGTACATCTGTTTACCATGAAGAAAGCGCCGTCTTGAAAACTGTCTACCAGTTGTCAATTTTGCAGGGCAGCATCTCAAATTTAACTACTTCAAGTTTATGCATAAATTAACACCCTGGCTAGTTGTCTGTACAATTGTTGTAACACTGCTCAACCAAAAACAATGCCCTGACAGCGTTTTGAAGATAAACACATTGTCAATCATTTGTGAAAATTTCAAAACAAAAGGTCAAAGCGTCTAGGAGCTATTTTTTTTAAAAGTTCTGGGATGTGCACTAAAAAGAAGCTGAGATAATTGCTAATTTGCATAACAATTCACTCAGTAAGAAGTTTGCTAATGCTCATAATTAAAATGGCTGTAACAGTTTCAAATTTAAATGTACTATCATTTTGTAAAATGTTAAATATAGTGCATAATATGGAGATCCCGTCATTTCTTTTTTTCACCATGTTTCTTTTTTATTATTTATGTACAGCCTTGCTAAATCTTGCTAAGCATTCAAAAGAGAGAATGTTTGCACCTGTTATCTATATTTTAAAATCGTCTTTTAAGTATGTTCCACTATTCACAATGCTATAGCCAAGAATGTTTGGATAATAAAAAGCAAAAAAAAAAGAATTCACTCCCAAGTGCCCACGAACCTGCATCTCTACCTTAAACCAAAAAAAAAAGACCAAAATTACTTGATCTACTATTGGGGATGAGAAGAAATTTGATTAGTGGTCTTATTGCAGCTATCGTGTCACATTACAGCCAGGACAAACTCACCTTTAGTGACTGGATAGCTTTATTGACATGCTTCTCTCGACATAACTGGGCAGCTTCTATTAGAAATGGTACATCACTGTTAGAATTACTTTTCAGATTCTTCACTGATTTCTTGAATGCATCCGCCTAAAAGAGTATTTGGTAAAACAGACAACATAATCAAATGACAATGTCACTTACTATGATATATATTGGGTAACTATCAAGAAAACACAGGTGAATAGACATTTTGTAATTTTGTTATGTATCAAATTAGTTCAAATTCTACTATACTGTTATTTTCACTGTCAGAATGTGTCAGTGAAAACAATGTTCAACTCATCAAAAATCAGTGAAAATAAACTTTATAGCCAAAAAATCTTTTCAGTGAAAATTAATTCTAGCTAAAATAAAGTATTTTACACAGTACATGTAAGTTATGTCCTACTGTTATGTTAATAAAATTCATCCAAAATGTAAATATTTTCTTGGATTTTGTATGATGCAACTTGACTTGTAAAATTCAAAATAATCACGTTGAATATTTAAAATAATGTTAATCAAAAAGATCAGAGTTGTCTGTTCTCTAGTGTTTTGGGTTTAAAACCTTGAAAATGGGATTTGTGAATTCTCACCTGATTAGTATACATGAGCAGTAAACATTTATTTAATGCTATAGTATTTCTTTGTTCTCTAGTTAACTTATGTTCAAGACCATCTGCTGTGGCAGCTTTCATTTTCTTTTTGGAATCAAACACATTTTGATCCTGTAAGAAAAAAATTAAATGCAATGAAATTCAGATAATACAGTTTAGATGTACAACAGACTTGTTAAATTGAATAGTGTGCATTTTGGAAAGTGATGAGAAATCTGGGAAGTGAAGTGCATTCTGGGTAGCGATGGGAAATTTGGGAAGTGAAGTGCATTCTGGAAAATGAAGTGCATGCTGGGAAGTGATGTGAAATCTGGGAAGTGTAGTGCATTCTGAGAAGTGATGTGAAATCTGGAAAGTGCAGTGCATTCTGGAAAGTGATGTGAAATCTGGAAAGTGAAGTGAATTCTGGGAAGTGATGAGAAATCTGGGAAGTGAAGTGCATTTTAGGAAGTAATGTGAAATCTGGGAAGTGAAGTGCATTCTGGGAAGTGATGTGAAATCCGGAAAGTGAAGTGCATTCTGGGAAGTGATGTCAAATCTGGGAAGTGAAGTGCATTCCGGAAAGTGAGGTGAATTTTCGGGTGTGAAATGCATTCTGGGAAGTGATGTGAATTGTGGGGTGTGGAGGCCGAGCACATTCTGAAGTGATGTGAAATCTGGGAAGTAAAGTGCATTCTGGGAAGTGATGTGAAATCTGAGAAGTAAAGTGCATTCTGGAAAGTGATAAGAAATCTGGGAAGTGAAGTGCATTCTGGGAAGTGATGTGGATTTTGGAAAGTGATGTGGATTCTGAAAAGTGATGTGGATTTTGGGAAGTGATGTGGATTCTGGAAAGTGATGGGAAATCTGGGAAGTGAAGTGCATGCTGGAAAGTGAAGTGCATTCTGGGAATTGATGAGAAATCCGGGAAGTAAAGTGCATTCTGGGAAGTGATGCGAAAGGGTTACATCCAAAACATCCCCAACACAATCTTTTAGCACATTTTGGTAATCGCTATTTTAATCCATTGTATTCTAAATACAAGAATGAAAAGGCTGAATTGGTTTAAAATATGTCATAAACTTTGGCATTTCTTTGGGAATCTAATACTTGTGAATAATCTCACACTAGTGATTTTAATGATACATGTATGATATGTACTGGTTTTAATTTTGTTGTTGAATAAAAGTATAGAACAAGTTTGAAAAAAAAAAAAAAAATTGGTTTAGTAGCACATGATCACAGTAGTGTAAACTGATCACTACTTGTTTTTGAGTTGTTACAAACATCCATTATTATTCAGTTATGATTAAAATAGCATGCAAAATCTTAGTTTGATGATTTGTTATGAAATGCAAGTAAAATTCAACTTATTTTTGATTGCACGCAAACACTTGATGCGAAATGATATTCGTCTTGTTTGATTTATGTATGAGTTGATCTGAAACTGGTTCATTTGACTTGATAGATCAACTAGCTGTTAACCAATCAGAATGCTGGGTGGTGCCAGCTGAACGTATCCGGGTATTTCTGAATGGCATCAGATTTTGAACACAAAACAGCCCAGATATGTTTTGTGACTCATAAATTTTGTAACCAAAAGATCAACACCTGCTGAAATATCACCCATGGTCGGGGTTTTAAGATTGGTGGTGTATCGGACAAATCGTGGGATGCTAGATGTTTCTGGGAAATTACTGGTAATTGCATTCTGGGAAATGAATGCATTATGGAAACATGTCATAACAGTCAGTTTTTATAAAATTGTCAATATAAATAAAATGCTTACCTTATTGAGGGTGATGATATTATTACAAGCCACAGCCATCAATCCAATATCGGAAGGTCTAGAGAGAGAAAAAACAAAGGGTCAATTTTAGCAGGCATAAAGACATTTGTGATTAATTTGAAAGTACACGCTTGCTGTAACAGAATAGTCACAGAATTTCAACTAACTATTTCTGTGTATACAAACAACATGTAAATATGCCCTGTTTTCATTCTTTGCAGTTGACAACTCTAACATGTATGTGTTCAGCACTCATTTTCCTGAACGATCAAATTTTGGCAGTCATGTTTCAAAATTATGCATTTCTACACGAACTTATAAATTAGGGTAGAATAGGGGCATGTACCAGTAATTGTCTCACCATTTTAATTGTACATGACATATCATACAGAGCAGGGAGAGAAATTACGGTTAGGTTCAGGACCGTATAGTACTAGTGTAGCATCATCTGACAAGGTTAAAATAATAATAATTATTCAAAATGTCCACGCATATCAAACTACACACTTCTATTGCACACTAACATAATACATGTACCGTAAAATCTGTATTAGAAGCCGCACCCATTTTTTTTGTGAATAATTGAGAACTAAAAATTCATAATTTTTCTCATATGTATAGATGCTCTAATATTAGCCGCATCCCCTCTGTTGCATTGTACCATTTTAATAGAATTCGGGGCTTCTAATACAGATTTTACAATACTGTAAACTAATTAATTTTCATTTGAACTTATTTTCGCTATTTTTTCCTACCGTAAAAGGATGATTCAGTGAAAATAAAATCCAGCAAATATACCTTTTTTCCTATATTCTACATTCAACTCGTCAAAAATCGATGAAAATAAATTCTATGCAAAATGTCTTTTCAGCGTATTTTACAGTATACAGTATCACAAGAAATCTTACTTTGATTTGACTACTTGGTTATATAACTTGAGTGCTTTATCATTCTTGCCAAGTAATTGTAGAGTATAGGCATGCTGTACATGGATACCACTGAGTTCCTCCTCTATCTCCTCTTCTGTTATGTCAGTGTCATCTTCCAGCATCTGTCGGCATAGTGACTCAGCTTCACGCAACTTCTTCTCTGCTGCTTTGATATTACCTTGACCAAGAAGGAAACAGGCTTTATTGTAACATAACTCGAAGGTATCTTCTGTCAGTCCATAATCATCCTGAAATACAAAGAATGGAAGATAAAAACGTAAGGCAGTAAATAGACTTAAACACAAGTAAACAAAATAAGCCCTAAAATAATCGTTTTGTATAGGCAGTAAATTTTCTTGGCATATAAAAGAAATCACTCAAAAGCCACAACAAAGTAATGTAACTGGTATAGAAATCAACTTTATTGATTGTATATGAAGGGGCGATTCCTGGATTAAAAAGATGATTCTGCCAGAGAAAGGCAATTCTGGCAGTATTATAAGTAATTTTGTAAGTTGTACCACACAAGTGTGATGCTAACCTTTGATAGTTAACATTTTTTGGTCATCATCTCTCTACCATATTTACTAAGAAAGTACACTTTTGTCTGTTTTAAATAGTCCGTATTTAATAGTATGCAGATCGCCTTACACCAAATGGGACATTTTTTGAACAGCAATAACCTGGATTCAAACCAGCAATTTCCAGATCACCAAACTGTGTGGATGCATTGTCACTCAGTAATTTGTATACCTTGTCATACTACTATGAGTACAATAATGGGAGTTACACTTTGGGGAAGAGGTCTGGTAAAAGTCTGAAGCATAAATACTAGTAAAATGGTGCCTCTCGTTAAATCATCATTATTGCTCTTTTAACCTTTTTACCACCAGTTTCCTCTTTTCATCACAAATTCACAAAATAATCCTGTTTATAGTCTGCACTTTCCCCAGAAGATTGGGAAAAAATAGCCAAATTTGTGGAGTAAAAAAATTTATCTAAATTTCGTCTGTTGGCTCCAAAATTAAGAAAAGAGTGCAGAAAAAAATTTGGGCGAGAAAGTCTGGTGGTGAAAGGGTTGCCGGGTAATTAACAAGAAATAGATTAAATTCAATTTACCACATTTTTATCTCCCCATATTTGTAAAGCAGCTGTTACAGCTGACAGATTTGTATGTCTTTCTTCTTCATAGTCATCCGAGGTATTCTTTATAACATCTCTATAAACATCCAAGCAATCTTCATACTCTTCTAGTCTATAAAGCTACAAAAAACAACAAAATCAACTTATGTACTGTAAAATGACTAATTTTCACTGGGTTTAAATATTGCTGATTTACCATTTCAAGCATATCAAGTGGATTTAAAATTCATGGTTTTATCATTGAGATAATGTGTTCAATGCTAAATTTTACATATTCACTGGGTTTTAATTTAGTGCATTTTCCAGTCAGCGAAATAAGCAAAATTAAAACCCAGTGAATAATTAACCCCTTTACAGTACCACAAATTTACTTTAAACATTTGAATTTGTCCACCAAAATATCAGACATTTTTCTATGAATTTTTGATCAAATGGACATACTTACCACTTGACCTTCCAGTTCTTTAAGTTTAATATCTGGGTTAATAGTGTCTCGTATAGTGGATAAAGCATCTCTTACTGCGTTTAATCTGTATTGACAATACGCCTTTTCAAAAGTCAGCTCACTGAAAAAATGGAGACGATGTAAATAGTCGGGAACCATGCAGTTGAGAAAAGCAATACAATAAACTAGCCTGACACGTAGGCGTGAAGTAGGCCCTCGCCAGCCGAACGGCATCAGACTTCACCAATGCCTGACAGAATCGTGCATGTATCGTTGGCAAGATCAATACTGCAAATTTGCAAAGTTCACACCTCCTTGCAATTAGTTCAATGAATATTTATTTTGGTTGTCATGCTAACACTGTCAATCAAAAGCCGTGTTTGCATTGTCATTGACTGTTTTCAACAAGATGATAAAAATTGGGCGGAAATTTGCCAGCATCGTATCACACGTTATGTCAACCAAACAAATAAACTCTCCGTGAATGTTTACTCTTTGATGGCTGTCACTATCTTACGTTCCTGCAATTTGATTGGTACTGACAACAAATTGTTGGGGAAGTGAAAAACTACATCATTCTGTCAGGCGTGTATTGGGTTTGGAGCACCGGGGAGGGCGCAACTCGCTACAATAGACTTGCCTAAGGTATAACAAGGGAGTGCTCAATAAAGTCAACTTACCTAGAAGGTACTCAATAAAGTCAACTTACCTGGAATGCCTGCAAAAAGTCAACTTACCTAGGGAGTTCTCAATAAAATAAACTTACCTAGACAGGTTAGAATTATCTTGCAATACTTTCAATGCTTGTCTAAAATCAGACTGCTGAATCAGACAGATAACTTTACAATGAAATGCTTTCTTATCACCAGGTGCTGCTTTCAAAACTGTAGAGAAATTGAAAACACAAAATAATAAGTACAAGGCTTGCAAAAAGCAAAATCCAACTGAGTTTTTATGGCATTTGATAATAAAACCATGTTTGAGAAAGATTACTTTTGTTATCAGGGACAAAAGAAATACCACTATTATTTCATTTTCTTTATAGGTAAGATAAAAAAACAAACAGATGCACATGTACAATGTATTGTATCTGTATTGAAGTTAGAAAGTAATCAGTCTATGCCAGTCTGGAAATTGGCCTTGGACCATATATGATCAGATCACACAACAAAATTACCCACTGCATACAAGTGTACAGTTATAGCTTTGTCAATACCACTTCACTGTGACAATTGAATTATTGTAATCTAACATTGCAAGCCCCACGTCATGTCAAAACCTACTCAAAAACTATGAGCTATATAAACCGTGTTTTGTATAATTTATATTTAACACCTTATAATTGAAACTAGATTATGATAAAAAAAATGTCCTAAGATGATTTGTTATTTAATTATGAGGAATATGTGGTAATGTGATAATATTGTTCATATTATAGTAGGACAATTGACTCTCGATGAAAAGACTTGATGTGACCACTTCATACATCTGATGTTGACAAGCATATGCACATCCACATCTTCTACATTCTGAATCCTACAGTGTAGTTTCAATGCCAAATTTGTTTAATCATGGTTTGGTTGATACTTTGATTATGACGATTTGCTGCTATGTTTTATTTGTTTTAGCATAAAATTAAAATAATACAATAAACACTCCCCCCCCCCCCCGCCAGAGTATACATAGAGCATTGAACGTTCACTTTATATACACACTTTGCTACCATTGGTACCACTGCTACAAATGTATTATTTCTTTACAGTAGTACTAAAAAAATATCTATTTTGTGAAACTATTCAAAATATCATGGTATACTATCCTCTGGGAGATGGCTATTCTTTGAAAATGGCTAATTAATTTGTCTCAGTTGTTATTATTTTCGAACACATGACTGGAGAATAATTTGTAGAAAATGTAGTTTAATTCTGCCTCTCTGTCTCTATACATGTGTACCGGTAAAAAAAGCTTACATTCTGTAAAGAAATGAGTCTAATGTTTTCAATATATATACTAGTATGCTAAAAATGGGGGAATGATCTTCACGTGAACAATGAACCGTGCAATCTTCAATGCGACCAAACATCGAACAGCTGGTAGCGTTCAAGACATGTATTCTAATGTCTGTAAACGTGGCAGTTTTCACAGCGCGTGTTCAAAACAGACGAGTTCTCTCTCTTATCTAAAGGGATACGAAGGACTGCTGGTTACTTACTTTTGTTGGTAACCTTGATAGCTCGATCATAGTCTCCATTTTGGCCGTGTTTGTTCAATTCTGTGAATAATGCCGATAAGTTCACTTCAACCTGCGCCATTTTGTTCCTGTTTTGAAATGTCGTTGGGGGCGCTGTCTAGATGGTCGAGATGAATATTGATGTACCAGTATTATTGGATAGACCCAAATGTACGCAATCATTTGCACGAAACGTTTGGTTTCTATTATATGGCATTGTATCTGCTGCCCCTTCTCAGTTTGTATTTATTTCCATACGAAAACGACTTTGCTACTAACCGACTCTTGTACCATCTATTTTTTTATCAAACATAAGAAATATAATCATTAAAATAAAATTCTAGTTTGCGCTTTATTTTTTTTTTCATTTTTTAAAATAAAATATATATATATTCAATTATTTTGTTATATATATTTTTTTAATTTTTAAAGATTTTGGAATCGCAGGTTCAAATAATACAGAATAAATACACATACACAAACAAAGCAAAACAAAAATACAAAATAATAAAAGAACTATATTACAAATTGAATAAAATACAAGTATTTTAAATTTAAAAAAAATAAACGCGTAAGTAAGATTTTATTTAAAATGGTATTTGCACCGCGGTTGTTGCGTCTACAGATCACTATATATAGCCTATTGTTAGGTTCGTTGACAAGAAATTGCATTGTACCACGGTTACGAGAAGAACGGTGCGGAACGAAACTTTATCGGTTCTATTGTTAGAATGCACGTACTGTAAACATTAAAAACAAAGGGGAATTAGCATACTGTCGACGTTGTGGTGACTATTCCACGATTGGAGTTTTGATGTGTTTTTTTCTAACAATTTTTCACGATTTATACAGCATTGTCAGGATTTGTTAAGGATAATAACATTGAAATAAAAAATATATATATTCAGATTAAAATTGCTCATACAACTTCCTGTGTCACTTACAAGAACTAGTAACCATGATTGTACGATACTTGAAAATGGAATGGAGAGCCTGCTCGCACGGTTTCGTATCTGTTCAGAAATCCCTCTCTCTGCGAATTGTTGTGACATTATACATTGGAAATTTTAGAATAAAACTAGTGCTGAAATGGCACTGAAGTGCCGTTTTACCCCTAAATCTAGAACTATTTCATATTAGTGCTACTCACACTAACCACTCGCACTATGTCCATTTCAACATAGGTACGTACCGACGCTGTGAACGACGCCACTGGCATTACAATTATTTACGCATGATTCAGTAAACAAAAACAACATGAGATAGTTGATAGTTTTTGGTGGCAGGATATGTAAAGTTAAAAATACAGGTAATTCAGAGAAAGATTATATATTGTAAAACACTATATTTAGCCAAAGACAATAGAAAAGAATGTCTTTGATTTAGCTGGAATTAATTTTCACTGAAATGACTTTTTGGCTGTGTTGTATGGAATTTATTTTCACTGATTTTTGAAGAGTTGAATATTCGCTGGATTTTATTTTCACTGAATCATTCCTTCAGCAAAAATAGCGAAAATTAATTCCAAGCGAAGATAGAATATTATACAGTAAATAAGTATGGATCTCACCTGTCCAATGGGAGTGCTGGTCGCTCATGAATATTAATGAGCTTGAACACAGTGCAAATATTTTTTTTTATTATTCAAGTCAAAATATTATGTTTCACAATTTCACACTACTATTGAAAGATTAAAAATACTATCTGATCAATTGTTTTTATTTAATAAATTTAGTATACTTGTATTTGTCTGCAAGATGAGTAAGCCAAGATATCCAAGTAAAGGTCAAAACACATTTGAAACGTTGTAGCCAGGAATATTTTCATGAGTTTCTTTTTTACGGCAAAAACACGAAATCGGCCAGGTAATTATTTGACGGATTGTTTTAATTTATTATTCGTACCATCAGTTGTTAACTCATACAATGTAAAATTCACCCGTCTTTCTCTGAAATTATGAAGTGGTAGCATAAAGTTCAAATGTTGAAAAAAAATGACATTTTCTACATGGCAATAATATTTAAATTTTAAATACAAATATCAAACTTACAAACAGATGTATACATATACATCAAACAGCAACACGAGGCTTTATGACCCCCCCCCCCCAAATGGTAATTTATCAGTTGCCTGTCTACACAGGGGAAAAACGAAGTTAACCAACAAGTCAGACATTCTCTAGAATTTACTATCATAGATTCATCATAATTGTGTACAGGTGTTGAAAATATATTATAAAATGTTCTAATAATGTAATAACCACGTGTTGCACACCATTTATATGAGCTACTATGTTTGCGTGACTCCTGAGTACCACACATTCGGATATTGCAGTCCGATAACCGCAATCATTTATATTAAAGGGCGGTGGTCGTCGCACCGCGTACTGTTCGATATGGGACTCATAACGACGTACACAACGCGTGTAAAATACATTGTTTGTTTACGTCAAATTCAAACACGCGCTGCGTGACAACCACCGCCCTTTAATGCACTGTTGCCGTTCCTTATGGAAGCGACAGGAGAAAAACGAAGTAAAAATGGATCTGTGATTCAGACATTCTCTATAAGTTACTATGCGTGCTACTATAACAACCTATATATTATCTGAAAACTTAGATATAAGCGAATACGATAGTGCAACTAACTAGAGACACGCTGCCAACAAGCCGTTGTCGACAGCTTGTCTGTAATTATTTGGTCGTAGCTAGGAAACAAAAACAGTAAAAGAAAGCCCAAGACGCAGTCGTCAAGCCCACGGCATTAAGAACGTCATGCGCAATTCACAGATCAAGCGTTAAAAACAGTTTTTAAAATATTCGAAATAGTCAGAAAAGCACAAATATAGCATAATCAGCCGCCATCCCTTAGACAAACATTGGCATGGTATTGGTACTGACTATTTGTCTATATGATGTACCGGTATATCTTGTATTAGTAAGGCTTAAAGGGCGGTAGTCGTCGTACTGCGTCCTGTTCTATATGGGACTCATAGCGACGTATACAACGCGTGTAAAATACATTGTTTATTTACATGAAATTCGAACACGCGCTGCGCGACGACCACCGCGCTTTGAACAATTATGTGTTTGTGTGTCATTCATTTACAATAATTCAGAAATCAACAAGTTTGGTCACACATACACGGTATTACATTGCGTGACTATTACATTATTAACATATTTTATAAAGGGTTTGTTATCGTCTGTACATTATTATTACAAAAATAGGAGCCTGAGTGAGACTAGCGATAAATACCTAAGTTAAACGCTGTGGTCGTCGCGCAGCGCGTGTTCGAATTTCATGTAAATAAACAATGTATTTTACACGCATTGTATACGTCGCTATGAGTCCCATATCGAACAGAACGCGGCACGACGACTGCCGCCCTTAACATATAACACTGTAGAAATATCTAATGGCAATTCTATGATTCTTCTTCTCTTGGTTATAATGTTTTTTTTTGTCTGTTTGTTGTCTGTATTTCAAGTAGTGTCCTTGGCGAATCTTCATTTTATCTTACGGATTGATAGTACTCAGTCTGTCCTGTTTGGTTGTCGTTTTTGTTTTGTTCATTTTCTTAGCTGCTACTACCTTTGGTTTTGGTACCTCCGTGCCTTGTTTCAAACACACTGTTTTTGTGCTCTCATCAACTTCTAACCATTCCGGCAATGCGGGACATTTGGTGAACACAAACTTCGTATTCTTAAATAACTTAGTGCTTGCGTTCTTCGCCTTTGTCTCGGCCTTCACTTTGTCAATAAATGCCTGTGTAGTTAGAACCCAGTCTGTTGGGAAGGGTAATTTTAATTCCTTTGCCAGATCTTTGTCAACTTGCAGTCCAAAGTGCGCGCGTGTTCTGCTTTCCGTCTCAGGAAAAGGGCTGGTGTCGACTGCATTAACTGGTATTACAAACAACACACTCGCCTTTCCATTGTGATGCTCCGTTTCAATCACCGATTTCACGGACTCCATAATGTTGCCAGTTCCCTCTATAGTCGACATTTGAGTTAAACTAACAAAACAGAATTTCCAATCCTTCAAATCCAATCCGGAGTTATTTAGAATAATGGCATATATCATGGGTCTGGATCCATCACGTTCCCTGCGTAGGTAATCCGTTGTACGCGCCGCACTCTCATTCAGTCTGTCTATTATTTCATTGCCAAAATTATTCTTCCAAAACCACTCGCAAAATTCATTCCAGCTATCCCAATTGGGTGGATTTTCCGGAAAACTAGCTGCCATGGTTCAGTCGCAAATATATCAGTGATATGTAATGCGTAGAACTTAGCCCCACCGGGAGGTTTACCTGGTTTAAAATACAAGTACCTAGGTTTTATAGAACTCAAAACAACTTCAAGCACAGTATCCATGCGCGCCGAGTAAGAAAACAAAGTAGTGCCTTAGCAATACTGAATAGCCTGTTGTTATATAATGCCTATCCCACAACCCAGTTTGTTTTCACGTTTCTCAAGAAATGTTGGCAAAGCAAAACTGCGATTGCGATTATATCAACATGTCTATGATTATATTAACGAAACTAAATTGCATGGTTTGTTTATCAATTTTTATATCACCTTTCAACCAGTTTGGCATTTTGCCAGTGGTTCTGCGTTCAAATGACTATCTAGTAAGATTCGTGGAAACACTACTCAGAACTAAAAATAAACAGAATTTGGGGAATAATGCGCTCATATTAGATTTTAGACACGTACTCTCGTATATTCGAACAAATAGTTTTAGATAATCCTTTCAAACAAAAGGTTGGGCTGGTATTACGACGACTCCGTATTTGTATGTGAAGGCGGCAGTAGTGAGAGTCGTCGGGTTCTGAACGGGGACGGGGAACGGGGATGTTCGCAAAACGTAACAGCCCACAGCTCAGATTTGTGCTAGCTATTACTGTACTCTAATTACTCAATTTACTGTTTGGCCGTACCAGGCACATCTCTTCCAAATACTAGTTGTCGCCATGGTGCTTCCCATGTAGGTTGGTCACTCGATATTCATGATAAGATAAGATAAGATAAAGATAATAATACTTGAATAATAACACATGGTGTCGGAACGTTAATGTAG